CCAAGCCCGCTACAGTGGAAGCCAAGGTTGAGGAGCCAGCCAAGCCCATGGGGTTGCCCAAGCTTCCTGCAGAGGCCGCGTCCTTGCCATGCGTGGCACCCAAAGACCAACCCAAAGCAAAAGCCAAAGCCAAAGCCAAGGGCCGAGCCAAGGGCAAGGGAGGCAAAGATGATGAAGAGGAAGATTTAGGTGATGATGAGGAGGAGGAGGAGGGGGAGGAAGAGACAGTGCCCCCCAAAAAGGCGAGGGGCAAAGCGAAGGCAAAGGCGAAGGCAAAGGGGAAGGCAAAGGCAAAGGCGAAGGGGCAAGCAAAGGCTGCTTCTTCGAAGAAGAAGAAATCCGAGGCTGATGAGATTGTGGATGAACACGAGCCCGAAAAGAAAGCCCCCAAGCGCCAGAGGCCTGCAAGGAAGCCTCAGACAGAAGCATCTGAGGCTGCCGGTGCGGAGGACACGGCAACAGCAAAGGAGAAGACAAAGAAGAGACGCGACTCCCAGCCAAAGGCTGAAGCTGAGGGCAAGGAGGAGGGTGAGGAGGAGAAGAGGAAGAAGAGTCAAAGCTCCAAGAAGGAGCAAGATGGCCAACCAAAGGCGACCAAAAAGCGTGAGGTGCCTGAGGAGAAAGCGGATGCCCCAGTCGAAGGCGATGGTGCTCCGATGCCAACAAACCTTCAGGCAGATGCTGAGCGCAAGGCCAAGCGATCCAGGAAGTGCTGTGCCTACAGCGCTGCTTACAAAAAGAACCTGGCCCTGGGCGAAGAGATTGCCCGTGAGCGGGCAAAGGCAGTAACATGGCAGCATATAGACGCTTAATCAACGCACGACACACGATGAATATAGAATACATGCCATGCCTAAGGCATACAAAGCCGCTGAGTGAGAGCCAGTGATCCACTTAGCTGCTAGCTTTACGGGGCTGTTATGGGAAAACCTGTAACCATGTGGCAACATGTGGTCTTTGGATTTTGGGGTTGCGGCTGATCAACACTTTCAGCTGTGTGGATGCAATGCATCATACGCCTGACGGCTCCTGCCTTTGAAACAAGGCAAAACATGAGCGACTAACCTTTTTTCAGAGCAGCTGTGCATCATACACTATATCTCAGGCCCAAGCTGTGTCACGCCAGGATCGGTCATCTTGCAGAATGGCCTGGATGATACGCGCCAGGCTTTCAGGTGCCTACCGCCCCAGTTTGTGTTGCTCTCACTCTGATGGTGGTTACCTGCTTACTTTCTTGAATTGAAGCTGTAAAGGCCCAGGAGTTTTTCCTAAGCCATGCCGTCCAATGTTCGGGGACGCTCGATCCCATTCAACCTCATGCGGATGGGGGCACCAAAACTTCTTGTATGCTTAGTGTCATGCCAGCACTATAAAAATGTGGCTTCCAAAGCGCCGGCGCAAAAAAGAAAAACATGTGAACCAAGGTCTTGCTTCTCCAATGGTGCGACTTCAAAGTCGGAGGGCCATTTGTTTTCTTCGAGGTGTTCAGCGGAAAGGGTGCTGTGACACGTGCGTGGCAACATGTCTTATATAGCTATATACTGTTTCACAATGCAATGCTCAATGGTCGTAAACGTTGGGTTGACCGGGAACTCAGGCACTCCGAGGGGTATAGCTGCGCCTCCTTTGACAGAGACTACTGCCCAAAAGGTATGAATTTCTTGGAGAACTCTGGATTTGCGTGCCTAGTTGTGATATGGAATCCTCAGGTGAAGGTGAACCCTGTGCAAGCCTCCGCATAGTCTGCCGAGGTTGTGCGTGCTCTGCGCCATGAAGATGGTCCCCAATGGCATTGTTCTCCTGGCACCGCAGTGTAGTAGTTGGGTGGTAGCTTCCCGTGGGACAAGCAGGAGATCATATATAAATCCTATGGGGTTCGCTGGCTATGATTTTGTGGCACATGGTAACGAACTATGTGCCCGGTTGTTTGGCTGCAAACAAGTTTCAGGTGTGTGCAGTTCAACCGCGGAGGTTTGAAGTCAATTATACTCCCCAGGCTCACACTTCTGCTGATGGTAGCTATGGCTACCTTGGCCATATTTGTGGTGGAGAACCCAGCCGGGACGTTGCTGTGGCAACATGACCGGTTTTCGCATTTCTGCAACCTCATGGCATACGTCTTTGGGTTGCAGCTATATGGAATCAGAAGTATATATATATATTACATAATATATAGTTGGTGCACTCAGGTCTATTCATGCAGCTTTTGGATGAAGCACTTTGGGGGCAAAACCCCAAAAAGAACAACGGTGATGAGCAACAGCCGTTTCATTGCCTTGTTGGATATGGGCCCTTTAAGCCGGCGATTGAACAAAAACAAATCAGACACCACCAGACTTTTGGCTGCAGTTCACCAATATATGCGCACTTCTGTTGGTTTAGAGAACTCTTTGCACTTGTGAGGACAGTATTTCAACAGTGCTGGAGAAAAGAAGTTTGTCGGAACATCCAAATTGAAGGCAACCCAGACCCCTGGCAGTGCCTTAAGCCCTATTTGAAACTTGAAAGATGGATTGCAACATAGTCAACCCGGATCCATTTTCATCACCACTGCCTCGACCAGCCCAGGGAATATCCACGTCGCTTTGGATTCCGAATCCTGGATGTCTACAAACAGGCCAATCTGAAAGAGGAGCGTCGAGACCTCCGGGTGGTTTTTGCGGTGGATTTTAGCGAGTCTGACAGGGAGAACTTTGAGAAATACCCTACAGGGGATCTGTGGGACGATGCTTCGCTAATCGATGTTGTGCTGTACATTTGGAAGTATAAAGGTCTATCAATCCCTGATAGCTGGGTCAACACGATGGAAAAGTTCATTGAGTCGATCAATACACATGTTTCTCGGAGATACATCTTTCTTAGAAATCAACCGCTTCTACAGGAGATTGCTGTGTTTAAACCTATATAAAGATTATAAAGGGTGCTTGACGATTGTCACACCAAGGCTGGATGATCTGCATGTGGTCGGTGGCCCCAAACTCGGCTGACTGGCTAGTCAGAGGTTGGGAGCACCAACCTTGAGATCGCTATGATAGCTACAAATGAGTTCCAAGAGAGATTTGGAAAACCTGCGAACGTTTTTCACCCGCAAAAACGGCCGCAAATACCCGCAAAACGACCGCAAAAAAGCGCAAACGAGCGCAAATTTTAATTTTGGTACCTTTAGTAATTTTTACATGCACGCTAGAAACACCCTTGTTGGAACTTGTCGGGTGTAGCTTGATGCTTTTGGCCCGAGTGTGGTGATCAATAGGTAGGGCGAGATGATGGAGTCCCAATTAAGCTGTGAAAGTTTGAAGCTAGGTGCTGAAGCTTTAGGGGTCAACTGTCAGAGCCCTCCTACGCAGCACATGGATATTGATGCTATCATACGAGCCCCTCAGCCAATCAAATAGCTTTCATGTCGATCAGATTTCATTAGTTTCCCCATGTTTCCATCCTCACTTCAATTCCAACTCCCTTTAAGGCAACGGAGGAGAGAATCGCCTGCCTTGAGCAGCAAATGGCTGGGAGCTCCACAGTGCGTCCTCGGCCGTTCTCTGAGATTGCTACTAAGAAGCCAGGCCGTAGTTCCAACATGTACTCAGCTAGTGGAAAGTCTCTAGGGGAGATTGGGAGTTTGTTTTGTACGCCCATCAAAGAGAAGCTATATATATATATATGTCAATGGGTGATTCATGGGTGCTTGTGTTGCCTGACCAGATGATCCACATGCTTTTGCTGAATCTGATGGACGCTTTCGCTCATCTGCTCCCATCCGGCGACTTGCGGACGAAAGCTTCCAAACCCCGCCAGCGAAGTATGCCAGGATGAACTCTATGGTTGTCAACAACGGACGTGGTGAGCTGAGACAGTCCCCACTTGAAGCGGCCCAGGCTGCTTCTCATACAACCCCAGCAGCCCAGGTTCCTGTTAAGGTTGAGCCCCAAGAGCCTCCACCCAAGACATCCCAGCCTACTTCATCTAAGCTGGACGAATCGAAGGGCACAGAGCAATCGAAGAGCACAGAGAAGTTCGACAAATACTACCACAGGCCTGCCTTTATTAGTGCTAGTTATTATATGTTTCTCTTGGGCCCTACTGGCTGACCTTTTGAGCCTTGTTCCGTACCCTTTTATCCGCAGGTTGGTTCGGTACTTCAAGCTGCGACAAGATGGGACAGCGATTTGTTCCCAGGAGGCCATGCAATTATGAAAAACTCAAGAGGGTCGTGACTTAGCACAAACCTAGACGTGAGGTATCTAAACTACCGGTCTTGAGGTTATACTGATAAAAGCAAGTGTTGGGTATAGAGCGCCTCTAAAGCCTTAGGTCTCTCATGTTCAATGCAAACAGGGTCGGTGCTGTATGTTCAAACAGAGTCCGGGGAGAGACAATTGATACTTGAAACCGTATATACAAACACAGCGTGTATCAACACCAGGGAATGAATAGAGACCACTCTTTCCCTTCCACACTAAGGTGAGAAGCTTCGAGTTGCTCTCAAGGAGCAGGGTAGTTTCGAAGGCATGGAGACGCAAGTGAGACGATGGCAAAGCAAGGCATCCGTGAAACAAACGACTTCAGCAATGGTCACTAAGCATTGGCTCATGGCGGAGAAGCATTGGACCAAGTCAGATCCTCATTACATCTGCTTCGTGGTTTCGTTGAGAACATACGTCACAAACACACCAATGGATGTTCCATTAACGCTTGAAACCAAGGGCTATGTGTGATCGTGGGTTTGAATGGGCAAAGCAAAACGGGCTCTGGCAGATCAATCCTGTCCACGGCGAAGAAGAAGCATCTTTAGTGATCGAACGACTTTTCCAAGTCGAAGAACAGCAATGTGAAACAACGACTCAGTCCGGGTCGTTTGAGACCCAGGCTAGTTCTCGATTTGTTGTTCAAGTAGAGCCTACACAGCGCTACAGCATGTTTTTTTACAACAGGTGTCAACACTTGAGAGTTCCAACAACACACGTCCACTCTGCCAGGATCCCAACGGGAACTTCTTGACGCAGGAGGTTGCTGTGGAAGATGCCTTCAAAACAACGGATGGCGGTGATGGGGTGGTCACGGAAGGGTCTGGCGCGTCTTTCCGGTTTCTCGAGTTTTTTGGGGTGATTTGAATCATATGCAGTTGTACGTTCAATTTCTTTCTAAATGTGCCCAAGGTTGGCTTTCCCTCGGATCCAACAGAACCAGTCACCGCTGGCAATCGTGCCGGCATTTCTAGATTGCATGGCCAAGAAAATGGAACATGCATCCAAAGAGCAGGACTGGAGCAATCTCCAAGTTGATCAATGGTAGCTAGTTCAAATGTTGTTTCGCATCTATGTAGGAGAAATTGAAAGCCAAAAAATTTGTCAAAGCGTTAGAGAGGCTTGTTTGCAAAAGAGTTGTACCAACACGTGCTTAGCTTATGTCAAAGCAAATTCAATCTTAAGAAACATCCCTTACAACCCATCACCAAAGACCACATCTCAGGATGGCCACCAAGATCGAGGAGTATGCACAAGATTTGTCCAAGAAGTTTGATGCTTTGTCAGCGCTCCAAGGGGAAGCCTTGACCAAGAATCTTGATTCGCAACACACCGAGCTCAAGCAGCAGTTTGCTGAAATCACGAAGACGGATGTTGCACTGAACAACATCTTGGTGAGAGCAAGGCCTCAACATGAAGCAACGTACATGTTTGTTCCTGGTGTGTTCTAGAATTTCAATGATGCTCCTCTCGGCCAATTTGTCTCAACCAAAACCTGCCACAGGAATCTGAAGCCGCCAGCGAAGACTGTTCGAACGCTACCTGGTGGTGGTGAGGGTCGTGATGCTGAGGGTCGTGCCCCAAAAGCTAAAGCTAAGGCCAAGGGAAAGGCACGTGCCGCCAAGTCAAAGGCTAAGGCTAAGGCACGTGCCGACAAGTAGTTTCTAGATATGCAAAGCTACAGTTGGCTGGGTCTTGGAAAACTGGCCAGTGGAGGCCTATGTATACATTTCATTTTATACTAGTTGATTCTGGAGCTTCAAAGTGGCCTGCAATGGTGCCTGTTTCTAATCGTGTTGAACAGCGACCCCAATTCCAGCTGGCTTTTGAGAAGTGCTGTGTGCTTCAAATGGAAGCCCACTCTTAATTTGGCAAGGGGAATTGCCATCCAAGAGGATTGACAAAAATGTTTTGGAAAGTTCACCGCATACGCCAAGCAAATAGTTATGCAACTTTACCCTCCACCCTTTGCTCTCCACAGGTGCTTGGCCTTCGACTTCTGCAGCGTCGGAACCAATCCAAGATGAAGGCCAGACCTGTGCCGTTCAAGCATTTATTGTTTGTATATCTGGTGCCTGGCACATCCAAGAAAAAACGATAAAAGCGGCTCTCCACCAAAACATGATTTGGGAGGCTCGGACTCCGGTTCGGACTTGGCTGATGAGCTACTGGTTGGATTTGAGGAAGGGGCATCTTGGCTGAAACTTAACGAAAGTTCGGGGATCATCTTTTTTGTATCATGCAGCTGAAAAATGCTAGATTCCATCCTCCTGAGTGCCCCCTATCGTATTGAGGCAGAAAGTGCGAGAAGAGTGGTGAGATTGGCACGGATTGCTGGGCGGCGCATGCGGAACCTAGGAATCTTGGCCTAGCTAACAGTCGATCCAGCTACCAGTGCAAAAAGACTTCCAATGGTGCTTTGGAATTTGCCAAAAAATAAGGAGCCATCGATCCAGATATAGAGGCTCTTGGACGGTGCGGCTCCACATCCGGGAAGGGGAAGAACAATTTGTCTCGGAACTTGCACCGTACACTAGCTAAGTTGCAAAAGAAGCTTGATGTGACCGTGTCTATGGCCAAACTCACTCTAAGAGCTGGTTGGCCAAAGCTCCAGACTGGCCAGTTTGACTACCCCTGGATTGCGTGGACGTCGTGGGCCAAATACCTTTTGCAAAAAGCTCCCCGATATCTCCTTGGAGGTTGGAATGATATATCCAATCTGGATGAGTTGACGGTCTTCTCCACTTTTTGGGACCGGTATGAGGGCACAGACCCCTCACATCCAGTGTTTGAAGACTTTCTGCCGGAAGAGCGAAAGTTTGTGATCCCTTACTGCATCCGTGGTGATGAGGGCAGAGGTCGAAACTCACAACCAACTTTGGTATTAGCATATCAAGTGGTGGTGCATGGGCGGGGTCTGGCTTACACAGCTACCGCTGGGTGCCTTTTCTTGTCCAAACAACTGTGTTGTGTTTTTTCATTTGCTATCCGTGGCATCTTGCATGATGTCTATCGATCATAAACGCGAATGAACACGCAGTATGTGATGTCTATCGATCATAAACACGGATGAAACCAGGTGTATGTACTATATACATATACACACATATGTCAGCCCAAACATGGCCTACCCCCACCCGGGATATTAAGGCACAGCTTCGGAACACGGTGGTTGGCGACCATCATTACCGACAAAGTCATGACATCCGCCACATGGGATGAGATTCATAAAACAGTGGCAGCTGATTGCTGCAACCTTTACTCTTATGGAGTGACAGCTGCTAGGCCTGCTACGCACATGTGTGTTTGTTTGTCACGCCAACCAAGTGTAAGTGACATGGCACAAGGCTTCCAGGACTTTGCTCGGCTTCCTTGTTGCTCAGGTTCAGAACCAAAAGTTCCACTTTGCTCTCGTGGGCATTAAAGGGGATTGGGTGTACCTCAGGAAGGCCATGAAGCTGGCATCGAATTTCAACTGGAGAAGTCATAGAATTTGCCATTTTTGCACAACCATGGCGCTTTGGCTGTAAGCTAGCCCTCTTCAATTTGCATGTGGTTTGCATTGCGTTGGAACCTGGACCTTTGGAAGCGGCCAACAGGAATGGTGGAAGTTTGGACCGTCCTCGAGCCTTCACCAATGGAATGGGGAAGTTGTGCCTGCTTGGAAGCATGACTCACCGGAAGCACCTTTGAGGATGATCCCAGGCGCAACCGCTTGTCGTATACGGACAGATTTGGCCCATACTTGGGCGATAGGTGTTGGGAAGGAGTTTGCCTCTTCATGCATCCTGCTCCTGTGCCATGTGGGTGTGTGGCGTGCACGTCAGCTACGCCTCCAGCTTGGTTCTGCCTGGGAACATTTTCAGAATTGGCGACGCGTTCACAAGGAGACGTGCAAGCTCACAGGCTTTAGCCTAAAGGTCTTCAAGATTACATCGTTTTTTGGTTGATCTTATGGGGTTCATTGCAAATTTATTCGCAGTTGTTTTTGCATGTTTTGGGGATCTGGGAGTCTGGGTCTGTGTCAAATGTGGAATGGCTCAGGTTGAAGCAGTACCCAGTTCTGAGTGGTTCAGGCAGTGACTGCGTTGTGGTTTGCAAGTGGCTGGCTTCCTTGCTGGCTGATGTTTCAATGAAGCCTCATGGCATGGCTTCTCTGACAAAGTAGGATGTGCGTGTTGTTGGACTCTTCTTTGCTAGAGACGGAGCGCTGAGGTTCAAGCGCACGAGAATCTATGGGCATATATGCACTACACAGCCCAGGCGTGCAACTTGTGGTTTCGTGGTATGTACCAGAAAGGTTTGTTTCTGGATGCGGCTTTTGCTCGGCTCTTGGTACCCTATGGTTGGGCATTGGTGGAAGCTTGGGTGCACAGACTTTTGAGGAAACATCTTTGGGAACAGCTTTTACACATGTCGATGGTTTCTAAGGAAGGGTATGGCCTGTTGGCTTCAGCAGCGGCTCAGCAGAATCTTCGGCTTTTCCGAGTCAAGCCAAAGCTCCACATGCAGGAACATTTTCCGATCCTCGTCATGCATGCATAGAAACTATACCTACGTGAGTGCAATACTATGCCGAGCAATTTGTGGTAAGGTCCATTTGCTAGGTTTCTTTTGCAAAATGAAGCCTTCTAAGGAAAGAATGGGAACTTCAACTCGATGCAGGGGCCAAGTATGTGATCAACTTTCTTGCATTTAGCTGTTGGTCCGATGAAGATTTTATCGGGCGCTGCTGCCGTGTCAGCAGGGCCACACACCCATTTACTACTGGAATCCGGACCATTTTTCGATGCTTAATGGCATACAAAAGACGTTTGCCACGAGAGATTCCTGAGTGAGACCATTCTGAGACCCCTATTAAGTGTTAACCAAAGCTGTGCCTCCATTTGTTATGTATGGATCTCTCCAGCTTATATATCCCACTGAGCACCCCGGCCACTCGTGGTGAAAGTCGAGCTTTTGCTGCGCCACTCTTTGAGAGCGAGGTGGGTGTGCAAGGGAGGGAACGGGGCTGTTGGACCAGATATAGCTATCCAATATTCTTGTCGAGCGTTTTTTCAGTTTCGTATCACTTTTGGCAATCACGTGCCTAAAAAACCTCGTGCCCAAAATCATGGTACCAATGGATGGTACAGGTATGGTAATAAGGCAATACAGTATACGTAATCTATTGGCTGAAAATTCAACAAAGACGGCCAACATCGGCCAACAACACTACCCACACGTGCTGGTCCATATTTAATTATATAATGTTCGTATATGAGCAGCGGACAAAATTACTTGTGTAGCGCAATACCATTTGACATGATTATCGTTTTCGGTGGGGTCCATATCGTTCTCCAATGTTTCTCCAAACCGTAGTTAGCATAGCATACCAGCACATAGGCTAAAACACAAAATATGACTCACAACCTCAGATTAGAGGCTTACAGTGCTTTCTGCACAGGAATGGCACAGCACTTGATTTATGCACTCGGACCAACACTAGTAATGTGGAGAAGTAGGTCTACGGAGTGCCTGGCGTGACATTTAGGTTATCGTTCGCTTATCGTTTGGATTATCGTTTGGGAAGTTGTCTGGGATTATCATTGATGAAAAGAGGTGCCCATCGGTTTAGCTCAAATATGCTCAAATAAACTTGCAAATGCAATCGCATCTGGTAACCACAAACATCTTTGTACCCACTACATCTTAACAAGATTATCGTTTTTGGTGGGGACCATATCGTTTTCGACAGAAACAAAGCCCTCAACATAGGTTTAGGGTCATGCCGTGACTAAATAAGTCAGCCAATAATTTTGTCCGTCGCTCATATGTCAACATCTTTCCCAACTACAAAAGTCTGCACAACATGACCTCCTTGTTTCTCGGCACCATTTGGCAGCAAAACTCTTTTTCATGGAAGAAAGCTCGAGCAGGGTCGTCAAGATCCTTCGTGCTGTGCCAAAAACACTTCTTGGGGGTGTGACTGCCATGGAGAACTTCTGCAAAACAACAAGCTGGCAATGGGAGAGGGGCAACTCTCAATGAACCATCTTTGCCACCAGTGCCACTTAGTGTCTTACCTGCTTTATCAAATCCACTGGACGATGAATAAACATTCCACATTCCACAGTCCACGTCTATCCTGTATTCCATCTTTTCCTTGTTTGCTACATTCCTTTCTTCTGCTTACGAAGGCTTGTAGTTGATTGAATTTCATTCGTTATGTCATGCCAGTTCTTCTCTTTTTCGTCCTGCTTGTATCTTTCCTTACGCATTTCACTGATCAACATTTGAGCACCTCCTCTGCCCAGTTCTTTTAGCACGTCTCTTCGTACTAGTCAAAGCGCTAACCTTCAGGTATGCCAGTCGGATCTTGAAGCATTTATAAGAACTCCCTTTATATAGAGAACATAGAACTCCCCGAGGGCATCGAACGGTCACTCCCAGTCTTGGCACAGCTACCGATCCCCTTTTGGAGAACTAGGACCGCTCTAATCCTGCTGCGCACCAAGCCGTTCACACATCCCCTGCCGCCTAGCAAGAGACAGCCAACTATCCCAAGGAACCTAATTGGCAAACGTTGGTCGGAAATAAACTGCTTTCCTGTCACAACATCTTTCGAGGCACACTGGGACCCTGCAAATTGTCCATCGTAGTCGGCAGGGCTGCTAGGAGTGGCAGGGAAATCAAAATTCGATGAATTGAGAAATGGCTGGGCCAGCCAACTGGCGGACTGTGGACATGATACAACATGATACAACTAACACGTTTTTCTGGCGGTTTTTCTCAAAAGAAGCTCAGCATCCCTCAAATCGCACCATCCAAACGAAGAAGCATTTTGCCTCTCCTCTTTCGGTCAAGGCCTGGACTTCGCAGAACCAATTCACTGCTCCCGAGCCGAGCTACGGTTAGCTCGGACGGGTCAGCCAATGGGCTGCTGACGCCGTTCTTTACATACGAATAGGCGCCGGCACCATAGCGAAAAATGCACGTTTGCGACACGCCGGATCAAACGAACCACAGCCAAATGAACTTTATTCCTTTCATGATATGTCGTCATGATGTGTGTGATATCTGTCACCTCTGAGACCGAGGAATTTGAGCATTCGATGGAATGTGGCGGTTTCTAATTGTCATTTGGATCTTTGGCTTTCCCAGGCCCGGCCAGGCGGCTGGCCAGGTCTGATCACGTCACTTGGGCGAAGCATCTCCTGAAATTTGTCATGACGTTCGACGCCGTAAAGTGGTGCAATGGAACATCATATTTGCTTGGGGGTTTGTGAAGTCA